CTCCCCAAAGCCTATCCCAGGCAGAGGACTGACCCCAGGAAAGGCCTGTCTCCCCCAAGACGGCCTACTTCACGATGAGCCCAAGTTGAGATGCGCTGGACGCTGACCTCTCCAACTAACAGGACCCGAACCGGACACGCAGGAGAGGCAGGGCCCCGCCCGCCCCCGGGGCCAGGCTCCGCGGCCCCACCCTAAGGCCCCCGCCCGGCCCGGTCTGGCCTACCTGCGCTGCCAGGCTCTGCGTCCCGCCTGCCGGCCCGCCGGCCCGCTGCCCTGCCGCTTCTCGGGTCGCCCTCGGGCTCCGGCCTCGCCCTCCCTTCGACACTCTCTCGGCCACTTCCGTCCTGGGAACGTCCCCCACCCGCGGGCGGCGCCCTGGGGCAGCGCTCTATGGTCGCGGGGGGCAGGCAGGAAGCTGCTCTGGCCGCGTTCTCGATGCTCGGGGGCCGCCAAAGGCCGGCAGCCCCTCCCTGGCAGGAAGCGAGGGTGCGGCGCAATCCGGAGAGAACGCCAAGACGACGCCCGAGTTCCCTTTCAGGCCAGAACTCTTCCTTTTTCTAGCTTGGGGGAGAAGGCGGAGCCGGAGCCCCGGAACCCCCGCCCTCGGGGTGCGAGGCGGCAGCAGGGCCGTCCCCTACATTTGCATAGCCCCTGGGACGTGGCGCGGCACCCAGGCCTCTTCTCAGTTGGAGGGAACTCCAAGTCCCACAGTGCCACGGGGTGGGGTGCGTCACTTTCGCTGCGTTGGAGGCTGAGGAGAATTGAGCCTGGGAGGCGGGTCCGGAGAGGGCTACGGGAAGCCCGGCCGTAGAGGGACAGTGGATAGGTGCCCGAGGCCTGCAGCTGGCCTGGGGCTCGTGTCTGGGCTTCGGACGTTGGGGCCCGGTAGCCCACCCTTTCCGTAGTTGTCCCAAATGGAGCTGGAATTGGACGCTGGTGACCAAGACCTACTGGGCTTCCTGCTAGAGGAAAGTGGAGATTTGAGGACGGCGCCCGATGAGTCCGTGAGGGCCCCACTGGACTGGGAGCTGCCGCTTTCTGAGGTGCGTTGGGGTTCTGACTGGGGAAAGCGTGGGATGTCCATGAGGTCAGGGGATGGTGATAGGTCAAGGCCTGTTCACTGGAACCCTGCGCAGGTACCGAGCGACTGGGAGGTAGATGATTTGCTGAGCTCCCTGCTGAGTCCCCCAGCGTCGTCGTTGAACGTTCTCAGCAACTCCAACCCCTGCCTTGTCCACCATGACCACACCTACTCCCTCCCACGAGAACCTGTCTCTATGGATCTAGGTTAGTCTGAAATAAGTTTGCGGGGAGAACAGGGTTCATGGGCCTGGCTATTCATACTTTCCCTTTTGCAGAGAGTGAGAGCTGTAGAAAAGAGGGGACCCAGATGACTCCACAGCATATGGAGGAGCTGGCAGAGCAGGTACTTGACTTGATTTTCAGGAAGATTACTCTCACATTCCTCAGGTGGGGGCAGGATTCCCCATTCCTCTGTGACATCCCCATGCAACTGCCGCCCACTTTCTGGTTACCCTAGGATATTGTTAGGCTGGTACTGACAGATGAGGAGAAGAGTCTATTGGAGAAGGAGGGGCTTATTCTGCCTGAGACACTTCCTCTCACTAAGGTAAGACTCTCGTTAGTTGAGCAAAGGCTGAAAAGGGATTAAAAGTCTCAAGTAGGCCAATTCTGTTAACTTTATATCAATAACTTTAAAAAAGGATTGAGGTGAGAAACTTAGCAGATTTATTGCTAATAGGAAGTTGAGGCAGGTACCCAATATGCTAGATGCAAGGTAGATCCTCATTTTCGTTGGGCTTACACAAATTTTGGTGTTCTGTTAAAAAACAAAAAACAAAAAAACCCTCAAAATTATCAGTGCAACATTAGTATTGGGCCTTGGAAAGGATTGTGTAAGTGAAGGGCCTTGACACTTCATTGGCTTCATAGTAATCCACCTCTTGCTGAATGGTAGAACTGTTTAGAGAGTTCAACACGGTTGGACTAAGCAGTACATGAATAAATGCAAAATCCTTAGTTTCCAGTTTTAAGCAATCAGTGGCAACTTCACAAGCAGAGTACTGGGATACTATGATGAAATCAGTGCTCATTAATAGAAAGGTTCCAGGAATTTTTTTTTTTTTTTGACAAGGTCTTGTTCTGTTGCACAGGCTGGAGTGCAGTGATGTGATCATGGCACACTGCAGCCTTGAATTTCTGGGCTTAGGTGATTCTCCCACCTCAGCCTCCTGAGTAGCTGAGACTACAGGTGCACACCACCCTGCCCGGCAAATTTTTTTTTGGTGTTTTTAGTAGAGATGGGGTTTTGCCTTGTTGCCAGGCTGGTCTTGAATGCCTGTGCTCAAGTGATCTACCCACCTTGGCCTCCAAAAGTAAAGAATTTTAATTCCTTCAAAGTACAAGATGAGTCAGCAGTGCGATGTGGCTACTAGGAAAGTTAATGGGATTTGGAAACTGTAGCAAGAGTTATTGTCTCCACAAGTCACTATCTTGCTTTCCTTTATACTGGCTAGAGCACATCTTTGACAGATACTAAGAAGATGCAGTCTATCCTAAGAAGATGAGTTAAAATTTTTGTCTAAGCTGTTTTTTTCTTGAACTTTTTTTCTCTGAGGAAATGTCAAATGCCTGAAAATAGCTAAACAGGGTTCATTCTATTTGGCCCCAGAGATACTAGGTAAGTCCAACGTATAGAAATTATAAGGAGACAGCTGTTGGTTCAGGATAAGGAAGTTTTTGTTTGAAGACAGATTCTTGCTTTACTGCCCAGGTTGGAGAATAGTGGTGAGATCATGGCTCACTACAGCTTCGACCTCTCAGGCTCAAGCGGTTGTCCTTCCTCAGCCTCCTGAGGAGTAGGGACCACAGGCATGTGCCACCACACCCGGCTAATTTATTTTTAGTAGAGACAAGGTCTCACTGTGTTGCTCAGGCTGGTCTCAAACTCCTGGGCTCAAGCGGTCCTCCTGCCTTAGCTCCCCAAAGTGTTGGGATTACAGGCATGAGCCATGTCACCTGAATATTGCCTGACCAATTTTTTTTTTAATAGTTTAAAATGGTCTGGCTTGTTAGGGTTAACACCTGGTCCGTGGAGGCATTCAGAAAGAATGTGAATGCCTATTGGTCAGGGAAGCTGTAGAAGGGATTTCTGTATTGGAAAGAGATGGATCTCAGTTGCCTTTCAACTTCTTGTTCTAGAGTCCCTCTAATGATACCCCTTTCCCTGTTTCCTTTCAGATGGAGGAACAAATTCTGAAACGTGTGCGGAGGAAGATTCGAAATAAAAGATCTGCTCAAGAGAGCCGCAGGAAAAAGAAGGTGTATGTTGGGGGTTTAGAGAGCAGGTATGAAAGGGAGAGGGACTCAGTTTTAAGTGTTAGGTTTTTGAAGGGAGGACACAGGCCATATCCCCATATCTTTGTTATTTCCCCCAGGGTCTTGAAATACACAGCCCAGAATATGGAGCTTCAGAACAAAGTACAGCTTCTGGAGGAACAGAATTTGTAAGTATCCCTCCAAACCGTTCCCTTCCTACGCTCCTCATTTAATGTTTTCTCACTCTTTCCCCTGCCCTACACTTGATTTCTAACGGGGTGGCTGCCTTCACTAGGTCTCTGATTCTAAGAAGCTCACAGTAGTGGGGAATATATTTATAAGTAACTGAGAATAAGCTAAGTACCTAGAAAAAGAAAGGGGGTAAGAAAGACCTCATGGGCTTTCATAGGATTCTGGGGTTGGGTTGGGAAAGCATTCTAGGCAGAGCGAAAGCATCCTAGGCAAGAGGATTAGCCCAGCATAGTCCTCTTGGGCTGGAACACATGTGAGCTGGGACAGAAGGTAGAGAACATAGAGAATGCCCGGTGAGGATTATGTGCATAGCTGATCAGACAGTGGGGAACTACTGATGATATTTGCAAAGGAGGTTAAGTCCTGGAAGACTTTGTTTTGTTTTGTTTTTGCTTTTTTTGTTTGTTTTAATGAGGAACTTCAGGCATTTTTTCCAGAGTGGAAGAAGTCGTTTGCAAAAATAGAATGAAAAGTAAGAGAGAGGATCCAGTGCAGAGATGGAGGAGGTGGCCTGAACAGGAGTTTCATTGTGTCTCAGGGTGCTAGGCCAGGGGATGCTCACCACTGGCCCCTCTCTTCCTCTAGGTCCCTTCTACATCAACTGAGGAAACTCCAGGCCATGGTGATTGAGATATCAAACAAAACAAGCAGTAGCAGCACCTGCATCTTGGTGAGGATAGTGATGAGGGGAGAAATTCTTTTCTCAGTTGCTGGGGACAGTTGTGCAATCCAGAGCCCTTCTTCATCTCCTTTTTCCTCTGCTGTAGGTCCTACTAGTCTCCTTCTGCCTCCTCCTTGTACCTGCTATGTACTCCTCTGACACAAGGGGGAGCCTGCCAGCTGAGCATGGAGGTAAGAGGCTTAAGGATAGCTCTCAGACATGGGCAAGGGGAGAGGCCTGGGTTGGCCTCTGAAGATTCTTTGTCTCCTCAGTGTTGTCCCGCCAGCTTCGTGCCCTCCCCAGTGAGAACCCTTACCAGCTGGAGTTGCCTGCCCTGCAGTCAGAGGTGCCAAAAGACAGCACACACCAGTGGCTGGACAGCTCAGACCACGTACTCCAGGCCCCTGGCAACTCTTCCTGCCTACTGTACTACATGCCTCAGGCTCCCAGTGCAGAGCCTCCCCTGGAGTGGCCATTCCCTGACCTCTTCTCAGAGCCTCTCTGCCGAGGTCCCATCCTCCCCCTGCAGGCAAATCTCACAAGGAAGGGGGGATGGCTTCCTACCGGTAGTCCCTCTGTCATCTTGCAGGACAGATACTCAGGCTAGATATGAGGGTATGTGGGGGGGGTCTCAGCAAGAGCTTGTGGGGCTCCCCATCTGTGTCCAAATAAAAAGGGGTGGGCGAGGGCTGGCTGCAGCTCCTATGCCCTATCAGGAGGACTGAGGGCTCAAACACACCACACTTACTGGCTTTCTGGGTCTTTTATTTGTACCCATGTGTCTCACCCCATGAATGTACCTGGGGAAATCAACTGACCTCCCTGAACATTTCATGCAGTGAGGGAACGGGTGAGGAAAGAAATAAATAAGTGATTCTAATGCTGCCTAGGTCACCCTCAACCCCCATTTACTGGCACAACTGGGTGGGGAGAAGGGAAGGGGTATGATTGTCCTGATGGCTCAGGGTTGCAGGAGGTTCAGAGGGGAAGGAGGAAAGGCCAGGCTGGAGGCTGGGCTGTTAGCGCTTTCCTCCCACAGTTCAGACGGTTCACTCTGGGCTCACGTTTGCCATGGCTTCCTTTGGTCCAAACATAGGCCCTGTCCTTAGTCCTGTGCCCTGTTCGACTTTTGGCCTGGAGGCCTTTTTGTGCTGCTGCTGTTGCAGGGCTAGCTGCATGGCCCAGATGCTCAGTGGCCGCATGTAGGCCAGTGAGCGGAACACCCGCTGCTGGCAGTATGCCTCTGGGGTCTGGAAGGCCAGACCCAGGCGCTCCCACACGGTACGGTAGCAGCCTTCAGCTGTCTGGAAGCCCTCCCAAGTCAGGCCCTGTTGGGAGAGATGACAGTCATACATACTAACTTAGCACCCTCTGAATAGCCATTTCCACTGGATAGATGGAGGCAGTATAGTCTTTGCCTTCAAGGAGCGGGAAGCAAGTAGAGGAGGTAACTGTGACCCACAGGCAAGCCTGAAGGCAGGAGCTAGAATGCATACCAGGGAAAAGCGGGAGGCTTTATAGATGGATAAGATGGCATTGGGTTATGCCTTGAAGAAATGTGGTGGCTGAGGAAGTTTTCTGGGCCAGGATACAGATGGTAGAGAGATGGGAAAGGGAGTGCATTACCTCTTGGATCATAGTAGCTGCCAATCCGTAGACCACACCCACCCAGACTTCATCAGACTGCACACTGGATTTATCAGGGACACCATGGGGCTGCATCCCATTCACAGCCCCCATGGCCCCTCCTGCAAAGGCCTGGACGTTCAGCTCAAAGATAGTTTGGAGAGCACGGACCACATGTGGGGTAGGAAACACCTGGAGGGTGCAATGGCAGGAACATAGTCTCATATACTTACTTCCCACCTTCAGGGAAAACCCAGTTTTCTCTCTGGCTCCTCCTCCTAGTCTCACCTCAGTCTCTCCTTCTCCTAGGCCACAGGCCTTCAGGAACCATTGTCCAGCACACTGGTCAGACATAACACTACGAGACTGAGGCTGAGAGCTGCTGTCATAGTTGTAATAGCGGCCTGGAGTCGAGGAAGAGAAAATAAGGCTCCTAGTGTCCCTTCAGCTGCTTTAAGACTACTTAGGCTCTCCGAACTCACCATTCCACAGCAGTCTCTCATAGGCTTCTTGGCCCCGGTGGAGGATGGAAGAAAACTTATCCTGAATGTCCTGTGCCCCACACAGAGCAGCCATCTGGACCATCACAGCCACAGCTGCCAGCCACAGCCCTCCACAGTAAGCACTGATCAGGGACATGGGTTTGGGGGTCAGACTGGCAGCTCCAGCTACTCCCATGCAGTGTAACAGACAATGAGTCATTTTTTCTTGAGCCCTACAATCCCTTGGTGCCCAGTTTCCCACCTCAGGCCTCCTGGAAACCCCTACCCACTAACCTGGGGCCTGTGGTCACCCATCCATCATAGGTCTGGTCTGCGTAGCCTCCATTTTCAATGAGTCCATCATGATCCTTGTCAAACTTCATTTCAGACTCCATCACAGCCTAGAGAGGGGACCAAGATGCTGAAGACCTAGGTACCGAGGAAAGGCAACAACCAGCTAGGCTCTTCCCAGACACCAGCCATACCCCTGGCACACTGGTCACTGCATGTGCATCCCTTACTAGACACACAGGCCACATGTCCTTCAGGAAGTTTTGATCACCCGTCAGGTAATAGTCCCGATAAACCTGCAGCACAAACTTCAGGTTCAGGTCCTTCCAGTCAGCAGTATCGTGGATCAAATATGCATTGACCCGGAGCCATGGTTCATCATCTGTGGGAGAGGCGGGGACCTGGGTCATTTGCATTGGTGGGTAGGGTAGAGGGTACAAAAGTTGAGGGAGGGAAGCTGACCTTGGGGTGGACTTTTACCTGGGTCCCCAATATCATGGGGGATGACGTTCCTCCTTTTCACAGGTGCCATCACCCCACTCATCAGGTACCGTCGCCGTGTCAGGTCCTCCCTGAGAGTGGCCAGAGCTGCGGGAGCAGACACAGAAGGGAGGCAGGGAATGGGCATGCTTGAGGAGGGGCACAGAGCTATGTGTGTGACCGCAGTGGGGAACCAGTAAGCAGCATGCAGATATGTATAAAGGGAAGGGAAAGAAGAGACAATCTGAGGGACCACAGAAGTTCAGGGGTATGGGGAGCCAAGAGGGCAGAAGAGGCACAAAAGAGATCCTCACCCATGTCATACTGTAGGCTGAGCTCAAGTTTGGGCCATAGCATGATGAGGGCAAAGGAGGCATAAAAGTGGACATCATATGTGTTGTACATGCGGTACTCCTGGCCTGGAGGAATGAATGAGAAACACTGTTGCCAGAATTCCTGCTTCCCCTTCAAACCCCTCTGTAGCTTGTCCTCTAGATTTGGAAGTGGGGCACTGTCACTAGTCCACATCCATCACCCCCTCACCCTAACCAATATCCTGGGGTAGGCAAATCCATCATCCTGGCTTAGGTATGGCCTGCCATATCCCAGCCCACCAGCATTCTGTACCCTCAAGGTAGCCAAATCGACCGTAGTCCCGTAGGGTGGGGCAGAGGTGACACATGTTTCTGCCCAGCTCCTCTGGTAGGGAGTCCTCACGAACTTCCAGCCATACTGTGCCTCCATCAGCCAGGAAGTATAGTTCATTGAACAGTGCAGATTTGTACCAGGCAGGCAGTGATCTGGGAAGTGAGGAGGAGGAAATGGTTTAAGGAACATGCACCTCCCAAGATGGAAAGGATTTGGGGGTTCAGCAGAGTAGGAGCATCAAATTAATCCCAGTGCAAGTCTACTGACTTTGGTGGGTGGAGAGTAAATCGAGGAGTCCCATTCGGAGTGAGTGCCTAGGAGAAAGGCAAGAGATGGGCCCCACTGGCACCTGTCATCCAATACTGGGCTCTGCCAAGCTGAGATCCTCTCTTCCCACTCTGCGTATCGGCACAGTGCATAGTGGCTGAGGGCAGGTGCTGCATCTCCATCCTGGCCAAAGAACCTTGTATACCGCCTGGGGTGGGAAGGGGAAGGATGAACACAAGCCCCAGGTCAGAGCTTTGGATCCTTACACTTTCTTGCTCCCCTCACCTGTAGTGGACTTGGCCTTTAGCTCCAAACAGGATCCTGGGCATGTCCCAGGCCAGTGAAAACTCCAGGCGGCACTGGCCTCGAGGTCGCAACTTGCTGGAAACACACACAGCTCCAGCAATGCCTACTCCTTTCTGCGTAGGGGTGCTTTGGCCTGAAAGAAGCACAAGAGAATTCAGGACAGGAGCCCCTGCAACCCCAGGGATAGGGATCCCTAACAGGGAAACAAGGCCTACTTATTGCCAGGCCTCCCACCCTTGGTCCCAAGACAGGGACAACCTCTCTTCCCACCATCTCCCAGTCAGACCCCCCATCACCAGCGGGAGAGTCCAGCTGTCCATCCTGAAGTAGATCCTGCCACACCTGCTGCCCCGTGCTGTCAGGGTCAAAGGCTGTGATGTGGGTTACCGTGGTATCTGCCTGTGAAGGGGCCAGGGACTGTGAGGGCAGGCACGAGTACACTGGGTCCCGGCTAGCTCCCCAGCTCCTCTTACCCAGACCTAGGGGCTTACGGGAGTATGATGAGGGTAGATGAAGAGACCATGGTGGGGTGGAGATGGGGTTCAGGGGCTAAGGTATAGGGCAGGCTCTTTCCTTACCGTGACTCGTGCAGCCACAGCCATTGTGTAGGGGTTTGGAAGGGTTGGATGATGCAGCAGCAGCCCCTGGACAGTTTCCCCGCCATGCTCCAGACAGAAGGGCTCATTCCACAAACCCCCTGGGGCATCGTCTCCACCCCCCAGTCCATTCCGCATGGAGAACATGATGGACACATCTAGAGCTTCATCCCCTTCATTTTCCACATCCCACACAAAGACTCCTACAGGCAGGCTGCTGTCCTGGGGGCAGAACATTAGACTCAGACGGTCCCAGTAGAGCCCCTCCTGACCCCACTCTCCTAGGATCAGTCCTGGGTGCACACAGGACCTGACTCAAATACTCCTCAGTATACTCTTCTTTTGTCCACTTGCATCTCCCTGTATTCCCAGGCAAGCTGCCTATCGGGACATAGAAGACCAGAACCAATCGGGCGGTGGTTCTGGGAAGCCAGTGTGATGGCTTCAATCTCCCTTTCACAGGTCATGCAGTTTCTTTTCCTTTTTTTTTTTTTTTTTTTTGAGACGGAGTCTTGCTCTGTCACCCAGGCTGGAGTGCAGTGGCATGATCTTGGCTCACTGCAAGCTCCACCTCCTGGGTTCACGCCATTCTCCTGCCTCAGCCTCCCGAGTAGCTGGGATTACAGGCGCCCGCCACAATGCCCCGCTAATTTTTTTTGTATTTTTAGTAGAGACAGGGTTTCATGTGTTAGCCAGGATGATTTCCATCTCCTGACCTCGTGATCCGCCTGCCTCGGCCTCCCAAAGTGTTGGGATTACAGGCGTGAGCCACCGTGGAGCCTGGCAGGCCATGCAGTTTCTAGCAGAGGCAAGGTCCTGGGGAAGGGAGGGCAATGGAAAATACAGACGTGGGGGCCTCACCTGGTAGTCATGGGGCAAGATGGGTGTGATCTGACGGCAGGTGAGGGTGACATTCTGGCCAGGAAGCTGATAGACAGTCCAGGCTCGGGGATAGAGGGCGTGGTAGAAAGCAAAGTACCCACACAGGCCCCAGTTCCAGCTGCGGAGGACACTTGGGCGCTCCAGGGACAGGACTTGCTGGTACACAGTCTGCCCTTCCCGGCGTAGGCACACTGTGAACTTAAAGAGGGCAGATAAGCTGGAATGGGGTAAGCCACAGGCACCACAAACTAAGTCTTCCCTCTTCTCAAGTCAGCTCCTCCCCTTTCAGAGCCTGCAGCTGTTACCACTGCACCATCAGCTTCAAGTCATCCCCCAGGCTCAGTGAATCACCAAGTCCTGCTACCTCCTCGTCCATCTGTCTCCCAAGCTTTCTCTCCCTTCTCCACTATGGTGGTGTTAGCACCTCATTTAAGCCTAAACAATCTCCTGCTTTTTCTGTGGCCCTTTTCATCTGGGTAGCAGAGTGATCTTTCTCACAGGCAAATCTAGATATGTCATCCTTGGTTAGAATGTTTCAGTGACTCCCCATGGCCCTCAGGCTAAAGTCTCAACTCTTGCCTGGCTTTCAAGGCCCTTCTTGAGCTGGCCTCTCCCTGCCCATCAGACTCATCACCTCTTCAAGCACCTATATTCTGCTCATATAAAAATACTCACTGTTCCTTGAGCACACTACATTCCCTCCTCCATGCCTGTGCTCATACTTATTTGCTATCTGGTGAAACCTCTCATCCTTCAAAGCCTAGGTCAAAAGCCATCTCTTCCTCTTCCTCTCCTTCCTCCAGCAGTGAGTCATTATATGTGCCCCCCTCCCGCTCTATTCTAGCATTTGGTGTATTATCTTATAATGTATTGACTGACCATTCTGTGTCCCTGACTGCTCTATGGGTTCTTCTGAGGGTAGGTACATTTTCTAATTCACTGATGCACCATTCTTCAGAGTTGGTGTGTATGTGGAGGGAATGAGTGAAATCTGCAGCGCCGTCCCTTTTTCCACAGTATACTATCCACCCCTCTTCTTTTAGCACTGATGTGGTCTCTGTCTCCATTTCCCCTAAGTCTTGTTTTCTCAAAAAAAGTTTTAGCTCTTGGAGGGTAGGAGCTATGAGGGATTAATATCCCTTTCCCTAGTTCAAACTATGCCAAATATTTTTATTGTATACAGTCGGCTCTCCATATCTGTGAGTTCCGCATCAGTGGATTCAACCAACCAAATCTAAAATATGCGGGAAAAAAGTTGCATCTGTACCGAATATGCACACACTTTATTTCTTGTACGGTATGACAAGGGTTTATGTAACAATGTATGAGGTATTATAAGTAATCTACAGATGATTTAAAGTATATAGGAGGATGTGCAATGGTTATTTGCAAATACTATATGCCACTTCAAATCAAAGACTGAGCATCCTCGGATAGTGGGTCCTGGGCCCAACCCCCAATGGATACTGAGGGACAACTATATAAAATACTTTTTCATTTTGTTGGAATGGTACATACTGGTTAAGACCACAAGCTCTTCACCACAGAAAGAAATGGTTCTGAATCCCAACCTTTCCATTTACCAACCTTGTGACCTTGCGCATGTTACTAAACCTCTCTGGATCTTAGTGTCCTCATCTGCAAAATGAGCATAATAGTGGTACTTCCCTTGTAGGATTGTTTTTAATATTAAACAGTATACAAAGAGCCTAGAACAGTGTCTAGCACATGTTAAGAATGCAATAATTACTTTAATTGTAGAGTCACAATTCTAGAAGCCATTCCCCTCAGGATACCTAAGGGATGAGGCAGAGAGGGATCTTGGAACATGGGCAGGGCTGGTAAACCTGAACCAGGAAGGGCATTGTCATTAATTGGACTAAAGATTTGCTAGTCATTTTTCCTTTGAAGATGAGGCTGAATGCTGGAGCCAGGAAAGAGGAACTTCCTAGACAACTCTAAAGGGGTGGTCAACTAGAGAGATATGATGAAAGGCAGGCCACATACTTCTGGCAATTTAAGGCCCAGATGTGATGCAGGAGCAAAAGGAAAAAAGTGAAGCTTCAGAAGAGGGAAGAAGGCTAGAGATCTAAGCCCGGAAGAGAAGGAGCTTTTTTTTTTTTTTTTTTTTTGAGACAGAGTCTTGCTCTGTGCCCCAGGCTGGAGTGCAGTGGTGCGATCTCGGCTCACTGCAAGCTCCGCCCCCCCGGGTTCATGCCATTCTCCTGCCTCAGCCTCCCGAGTAGCTGGGACTACAGGCGCCCGCCACCTCGCCCGGCTAGTTTTTTGTATTTTTTTAGTAGAGACGGGGTTTCACCATGTTAGCCAGGATGGTCTCGATCTCCTGACCTTGTGATCCGCCCGTCTCGGCCTCCCAAAGTGCTGGGATTACAGGCTTGAGCCACCGCGCCCGGCCGAGAAGGAGCTTTTTAGACCCTAAGCCAGAGAGACCTCCAGGGAAGTAATCAGCAGAGGAGCTGAACTTTGGTGAAGGTTCCTCAATCAGGGTGAGAAACCTTGTACTACATGTCTTTTTTTCCCATGAGTTTATAGACTTTGGGTTTTCTTCTCCCTTCCAGTCCTACCAAATGTTCTTTTAGCCAGGTTAAGTGATTTGGGAATTCTCTGCATTCTTTGTGGTTGGGGGCTGCCTCAGCTAGTTGGGTTGGGCCAGTGAGGTAGACAGGAGGCATTTGCTAGAGAAATGCCAAGTCTGTTTACTCTTTCAAGGAATGTGTGCTCTGTGTGTGTCTTATTCCTACAGTATATCCTAGCACAGGGCTGGGCACACAGGAAGCATCCTGAGAGTACTTATTGGATTGAATCATATTCACATCTAACTGCTACCTCCTACACTAGCCAAGAGGTCCTTCCTTCTTGGCCTGGGGAGGTACTGTCCTGGCCTCTCCACCTCCTGGCTCTTACTTGGTCAGCGATGACTGTCCGGTGCTGATACATTCCAGGGTTAAGCTGCCAACGACAGAACTGGCCTCTCCAGCCACGGGTAATAGTGCCTCCCCCGATGCCACCCAAGGGACAACCTAGAGAAATCAGGATGGTTAGTGGGGTATTGGGAGAGGAAAATAAGCATATTTCTAACTTTCTGGACTATAAAGCCTGGTTCTTCTGAAAACCTAGGGAATGGAACAGTGCAATTTGCATAAACTGGAAGCCTCTGCCTAACTGTGGTAGACCTGGAGGCTGGGCCTTTTCTGAGCAGAGCACAGATGGGGTGAGGCTCACCATAAATCTGTCTTAGGGGTACAGAATTGATCATGTCGATGAAAGGTGTCTTCTTTTCCACCTGGGTCTTCCGGTACCACCACTGCAGGTACCTGAGGAGCAAGAGGCAATGTGAGTGGAAGGGGGCAGGTGGGCAGTTGTTCACAGGCTGTCACCTGCCTGTCTCTGTGACCTCCCATTAAATGTCCCAAGGACATCTGCTTTCAAATCTCTCTTCCTCTTGATTTCTATACAGTTCAAGGTCCCTTCATCTTCCCAGTCACCCCAGCTAAAGTGTAGGAGTGGCTTTGTTTCTCTCCTTTTTTCTCCTCAGAAGGGGCTTTCTGATCTCTCCTTATCTCTCTAGTGCCACCACCACTGCTTTACTTCCAACATCAGGAGCTTCTGTCTGAGGTGCTGAAAGGACCGTTTATGGTTTCCTGGCCTACAGCCTCCACCCCCAATCCCCTACCTCCAAAACAGGCATAGACTGCTGGGGATAACTTTCTTCTTTTTATTTTTATTATTATTATTTTTTTTTGAGATAGAGTTTCATTCTTTGTTGTCCAAGCTAGAGTGCAGTGACGCGCAGTCTTGGCTCACTGCAAACTCCGCCTCCTGTGTTCAAGCAATTCTCCTGCCTCAGCCTCCCAAGTAGCTGGGATTACAGGCGTCCACTACCATGCCTGGCACATTTTTTTTTTTTTTTTTGTATTTTTAGTAGAGATGGGGTTTCACCATGTTAGCCAGGCTGGTCTTGAACTCCTGACCTCAGGTGATCTGCCTGCCTCGGTCTCCCAAAGTGCTGGGATTAGAGGCGTGAGCTACCGCTTGTGCCCTTTCTTCTTTTTAAAATGATCATTTTTCTTTCTAATTGTGAAAGGTGAAAGGGGGAAAAAAACCATCTCACCCACAGACAATCAGTGTTTATATTTATTTCTGGGCATTTCCTCTCAAGTCTTTTTTTTTTTTTTTTTTTATTCAGCATTTAAACCGTGAAGCTTTCTGATTTTGCTCTCGGTAAAGCCTTCAAAAAATCCCAACATTTTCCTGGGCTTGCTACAGCCCTGTATCCAAGAGGCAAATGATTGAGGCTGTTTTCAATAGGCAAATGATTCTGTTTTCAAGGCTCTGACATCTGTCCCAACCTATCTTCTAATCTTATTTCCTACAAATTCTCATTCCAGATGGGTCCTCACCAAGTAGCCCCTGCCTTGCCAGGCTCTTTCCCATTTCCACTGTCCTCCCTACCTAACCACATTATGCCTACTGTTCAGTCACACCACTTCTAGCCAAATAATTGGGTAAGTAACCCCTAAGTCCCAGTTTCTTCATCTACAAAATGAGGATACCACCTGCTCTAGCTACCTAATAAAATGGTTGAAAGATCAAATGACATAATAGATAAGAAAGCCATAAAGTACAGGTATGATTATTACTCATATATACAAATTGCTATCTCAATTCCTAATCAGACATTGCCTTGTTATTTCAGTGTTCCTCATGTGAGGCTGACATATTTTTAAGTTCCTTGGGGAAAGGGACAATGACAAAGACTAGTTGAATATTACCCTCAGGTCCAAGCACCGGGCAGGACATATGGTCTGCAGTCAATGCATATTTGCCAAATTTACAAATGAATGAACATACAAATGATGGGGCACAAGAGAGATAACAGACAGACTGGAGCAGAGGAGGAGAAATGTGATTAAAGAATAGGGACAGCGGCCAGGTGCAGTGGCTCACACCTGTAATCCCAGCACTTTGGGAGGCCGAGGTGGGCGGATTACCTGAGGTCAGGAGTTCAAGACCAGCCTGGCCAACATGGTGAAACCCCGTCTCTACTAAAAATACAAAAAAATTAGCCGGATGTGGTGGCGGGCACCTGCAATCCCAGCTACTTGGGAGGCTGAGGCAGGAGAATAGCTTGAACCCAGGAGACAGAGGTTGCAGTGAGCTGAGATCGCACCATTGCACTCCAGCCTGGGTGACAAAAGCAAGACTGTCTCAAAAAAAAAAAAAAAAAAAAAAGGGACAGCACATTCTAGGGGTGGAAAGAAGAGGGAAGGAAGACAAAGGATGGGATGACAAGAAGGCAGAGAATCCTCTCTGCCAGCTTAGAGAAAATTGGACTTTGAAACTAGAGGCCAGAAAGGACTGGTAGAGGGAGGGTGCGGCCGAGGATTAGGGCAACCAGGGAGAGTAACTGCAATCTATGAGGATAGGCAGAACAAAGGACTATCTGGCACGGAAGAAGCACTCAATAAATATTTATTGAATGAGTGGACTCTGGCTGGAAGGGAGAACAATTGAAATTGAATTCTTACCGAGGTAAGGCCCAGAGAACTCTGTCTTGCTGGAGCTTCTGGTCAGAGTGTCCCCAGTTCAGCTCCGTCTTAGGAGCTCTCTCACTCCCTTAATATGGTAGCTGGCCATTCCTGACCTATTTGGCCTTCTCCACAATTTCAACCTCAACTCAAGAGTTATCACTTAGAATTCTTGTCTCACCTGTGCTTTCTCCTCACAGGAACTCATCCTATTCCAAAAACCTTGTATCAGTCCCCCCTACTCTATCCTGGAATGGGGAGCCAGGGTCCAGGGGGTTGAGCACAGCTTCAGGCCTCTATGACTCAGTTCATATTTAAGGGCTAAGAGGCTAGGATGCCCATCTTTTCTTGATCTCATTGTTCCCACCACATGCAACTCAGTGTACTTCTCTCTGTACACTAGATCCTATTTTGACCCAAAAGCTTTTGGGGTCAAACTTGGACTGAATTGATTTCAGAAGCAGCCTGGAGGGATGATTCTTCTCTGCTGCAGGCCACCCACAGGTACCAGCAAAGCCAGATGTGCAGGCAGCATCAGGCCCTTCCCACTCCCCAGGGCTGGGGTTAGATAACTGACCTCTCCATCACAGCCCCACAGCACTTACTGGGGAAATGAAGGGTCTCCTACTCTAGAAGCTGTCAGGGCAGGATTTCCCAAGCTTTATGCCTCCCTCCACAGTTCTGTGTTTATTGTGTAGACTGAGTCAGGATGACCTCAGGGTGATGCTTTCTGTCCTCACATCCACCTGTTCCTGTTAGTGGGTCTGGCTCCTCATCACTAGTCTTTGAACTCAGTGGGGATCTAGACGGGTTCTACATCTATGGCAGTGCCTCTCTGATAAATGACTTAATATCAAGAGCTCTCTCTCCCAGAATAGAATGACAGCACCTTTTCATCACTTCAGAGTTGAGGGCAGGGAGGCTTTTACCTACTCCCTGAAGCTAAAGCTTGAGGAAAGAAGCAGTAGTGTTGGGACTCTAACAATGTGCCTAAAGAGGTACAGAGAATGCCCCAGCTGCTTGCAGGAAGTAAGGGGTTGAGACTCCCCACCCCCAAATAAAACAACATTGTGTTAGTATCACAGCAGCCAGATTATCCTTTCCTACCTTGCCACAAAGTATAGCTAATCCCAAAGGGAAGTCATTGGAAACCAGTATGTGAGAAGGAGCCTGAATGGGAAAGGCTGACTGCATGACCAAATGTTCCTACTGTTTCCTTCTGAAAAGACAAAACACTGGGAGGGAATGGTGTTGCAAAGAGATGTGACCTGGTCTCATGGTCCAAAACCATAGGCCTAAAATATGCCAGGGATAGGGGCCGCTTCACTGGGACAAGAAGCCCAACTGCTTTCTTGCCCTTTCCCACCTCTGCTAGTTTTGAGCTGGAACAAAGTGAAGCCAAAGGCATTCTAGGCAATGGGGTCTACTCACCTCAAGCCCATGCCTATATGCTTTATCATGTTCCTTAGGGAGACATTGTTAGCTTGAAAGGGTTTCCTCTTCTCTGTAAACTCATGAGCCAGACAGATGCGCCAGCCAAAGGGAGGCACCTGGTAGCCCATAGCTTTACCCTCATAGGAAGCCATCAGCTGCCCAGAGTCCTCCGGATTGCAGCAGCCCGTCTCTTTTTGGGGTCGGTTGTCTTCGGGACTCTTGCAGTCTGTAACCTGCACATCCTTGGTGCCTACAGTCTCTTCAGGGCAATAAACCTGTGGATCCTCTTTGGCACAGCTTATCTGCTCCGAGGCTGGGACGCCAGTTCCCATGTTTCCTGGATCCTGGGTCCCCATGACCTCGATGGCCCCAAGTTCCGAGCCCTCGGATACTAAGTATCTCGCCAGCCTATTCCAAATGTGGGCGCCGGTGGTTGTTAGGTATCGTCCCGGAGGGCCGGGCGTTGGGGAAAGCTTAGATGAGCTGGTGTTTCAGTGGAGCCGGGGAGCTCTTGCTTCAGTGGCGGCGGCGACAGCAATGAAGCCGCCTTGGGCTCTCCTTCGGTTGTCTCTGTAGGTCCTGGACGGAAAGGGTCGGACCTCGTCGTCATTGAGCCGCGATGATTAGCTCGCCCGGCCAAAGGGCGACTGGGCCCGCAGAGAGGGGAGGAGCCGCGGGGCCAGCCCACCAGGCACCGCCCCGGGACGGGCCCGCAAGGCACCGCCCACGGGACCTCGGCCCGGCCCCTGGGCCACGGCACCGGGTCCCCCAGGATTGGGCGCCAGGTCCCGCAGGCCGGCTCCGGGGCAGCGCCCGCGCCCAGGTGCCAGCCCGTGGGAAGGTGACCCTGGGCGCCGGGACAACCCGAGCCCTTTCCGGTCTGGCCGGCCGGGCGCTTCCGGCCGGAAGGGACTCCGCGGAGGGTGGAGGACCGAAGGGAAGTCCCGCCTCTACCGCCCAGCGGACGCTGCCGCCGACGTCGCCGCCGCCGCTGCCGCGCACCTAACCGGGACCCAGAGGGGCGGGCAGGTGAGGCCTGAGGGTCCTGATCCCTAGTGTCGACTATGCGAGGTGACGGGCGGCCGTGATCTTGGGCTGGGACGTGGAACTTTGAGGAAAGGAGGAGCGGAGGCCAGTTTGGCAACTCCGCGGGAGTGCCCGGGGAGAAGAACCCGGCGCACAGGGGCGGGGGTCCAGGGCCCAGAGCGACGTCCTCCCCCGGGCAGTACTGAGTCTTCAGCCGCCTCCCTGCCACCCGCTTACCCTTCCTATATCCAGGCGCTCCCTCGGGCACCACGGTGCTGACCACCCCTGTCCTCAGTCCTAGGTGCTCACCGCAACGCTCCTCACTGTCACGGTGCTGACCTCCGCCCCACCTTGTTTCCTTCTAGATCTGATTCCGGAGCTGCCATGATTGAAGTGGTAGCAGAGCTGAGCCGGGGTCCTGTATTTTTGGCTGGGGAGGCGCTGGAGTGTGTAGTGACCGTCACCAACCCCCTTCCCCCCACGGCCACTTCTGCATCCAGGTGGGGATGCTGGCACTGAAGGTGGTGGCCCTTCTGGGAAGAAGCCAGATTATCTCTGGGGCTGAGGCAGAGCTCAGGTTGTCCTGTAGCGACACTACCTCCTTTTGCTCATTGTGCTCTCATTGTAGGAGAGGGCTCTTTAACAGAAGATGTGGATGACATAGCTGTGCGCTTTCCTTCCCCTCCCCCTTTCCCCGTTTTACCCACAGTTTGCTACTCTTTATTTTATGGTTTCTCTTTGGAGTTCTGGATTTCCTGATCACTAGGACAGTCATCTAACCTTGTTGGTTAAGACAGTGCGATAGGGAGCTTGGAAAAGCATTTGTGAGGTTGGGAACTACCTCGAATACCTCCTTTTCCTCTTCCCACAGTGAGGCCCTGGCCTGGGCCAGTGCTCAAATCCACTGCCAGTTCCATGCCAGTGAGAGTCGAGTAGCGCTGCCTCCCCCTGACTCTAGTCAGCCAGATGTCCAGCCGGACAGCCAGACCGTCTTTCTGCCACACCGAGGTTAGAGAGGGGCATTTGCCTGGGAGAGGTGGGGTGTGGGGGGTGTGTGTGGAGGCATTGTCACCCATGGGTGAAGTTGTTAATTGTTCTTGTTCTTATAGTCCCTGTTGTGCTGGGAATGTTGGGGAGCATGACTATTTCTTTAGGGGTAGAAGACTATTCTCATTTCATAGCAGGGAAAGAGGGCCTGGCAGCTTTTCACTGTCTCCACTTGCCATGCTAGTCTTGTTCAGTACTGGACAATGGGTCATTAAATTAGTCATTCTTACCTTTTTCAGGTGAGAGGGGTCAGTGTATCCTTTCTACTCCACCAAAAATTCTATTCTGTGACCTGAGGCTAGATCCTGGAGAGTCCAAATCATGTGAGTGATTGTCCCCATCCCTGAATTGCCTTCTAAGCCTCCTGGAGGGAGAACTCCTCTGGTGCCTCTGGCTGCCCTGACAACTACTTCCCAACCAGACTCCTACAGTGAAGTGCTGCCCATAGAGGGACCACCCTCCTTTCGGGGTCAGTCAGTCAAGTACGTCTACAAACTGACCATTGGCTGCCAGCGTGTCAACTCCCCCATCACATTACTCAGAGTACCTCTGAGGGTTCTTGTGCTGACTGGTAAGCAAGAGCTCCTGGAGGGAAGGGCGGGGGAGGACCATGTCAAAGCAGAAATTGTCTTAGAGGACTTGCAAGAGGGGCTGCAGGGAAAGTTCCTGGTCTCAGTGATGGTGCTCGGGAGTTGGGAAGGAAGGGAGGGTTCTGGAGATAGAGATGTACACCTCAGCCCTGGCGCCCCTTACCTTCAGCCGTCTCACGTTGGAATCTAAAACCCTAACCTCTACTGTCATCTCTGTTCCCTCTCAGCGTTACCTCTCCACTCATTCTTTCTCTAGGCCTTCAGGATGTCCGGTTTCCCCAGGATGAGGCTGTAGCCCCATCCAGTCCATTCTTGGAGGAGGATGAAGGTGGGAAGAAGGATTCATGGCTAGCTGAGCTGGCTGGGGAGCGCCTAATGGCTGCCACATCCTGCCGCAGCCTCCGTGAGAATTCTTTCAGAATTGTCCTACCCCATCCTTCCCCTCATTGTATTCCCATCTCAGACAGCCTCCTAACCACCACACACTTCTGTGGATCCACTGATACCTCACACCTCCAATTATAAAGAAAAACCCCACCTTTTGGCCTGTGGTGCCCAGTCCTAGATGTTCCCCAGTGTGTAGACTCCAGGCTTATAGTGTCCTATTCTCCCCAGATCTATACAATATCAGTGATGGCCGAGGGAAAGTTGGGACGTTTGGCATCTTCAAATCTGTGTACAGACTTGGCGAGGACGTGGTGGGGACCTTAAACTTAGGGGAAGGAACTGTAGCTTGTTTGCAGGTAAGAAGGGAGCAGAGCTTCTTATCCGCTGGGTGCTGGAGTTGAAGGGCTAGGGTGGAAGGCCTGTAGAAAGAGGGGTGGCATGTAGAAGGGGATAGTGGGGTCATCCAGGGTCCCTTTGTAAAACAGCTTGAGGTTGGGCTGTCCTCTCACCTACAGACAGCACTTCCTGTTAGCACACATCTCTTGCTCCCAGTTTTCAGTCAGCTTACAGACCGAGGAGCGTGTACAGCCTGAGTACCAGCGGCGACGTGGGGCAGGGGGTGTCCCCTCTGTGTCACATGTGACTCACGCCCGGCACCAGGAATCCTGCCTGCATACAACCAGAACCAGCTTCTCCCTCCCAATCCCTCTCAGCTCCACCCCAGGCTTCTGTACAGCCATTGGTGAGACCCTCACTGTTACTGGAGAAGGGAGAGGGGGACAGTAAAATGCTGTGCTAAGGGGGGGTGTAATGGATCCTGATTCCTTATACACACTCCCAGACATACCCACATCTAGCCTCTGACCTTGAACAGTTTCTCAGACCTTCAGCCTCTTCCTGTTTCTTAGATGCACTGACCCCTAAACTCCTAACAGCTTGATAGAACTCCTCCCCCATGCCTACCTACTGGGAGCTTGTGATACACCGATTTTTGATTACTTCACACTACCTAGACTTCACTGCCTCACTCTTGGGTTGTTAGGTATTCTATTCTGCTATGTTAGGTATTTCATTCTGCTATCTTCAGCTGACATCTATGGGACTACCCAATTGCTTCAGAAAAACCCTTAATCACAGCTCCCTGCTCTGTGATTTTTGCCTGTCTTCCTGAATACAGATTGTTTTTTTCTTATTCACTAACTATATCCTGTCATTGGCCTTTACTCCCGCTGGCTTCTAATGCTTGTACCTTAATCTTTTTCTTCCGTAGTGTCCTTGAAGTGGAGATTGCATTTTGAATTTGTAACGTCCCGAGAACCAGGATTGGTACTCCTACCCCCTGTGGAACAGCCCGAACCTACCACCTGGACAGGTCCTGAGCAAGTACCTGTAGACACCTTCAGCTGGGACCTCCCCATCAAGGTGCTGCCTACCAGCCCCACCCTGGCCTCATATGCTGCCCCAGGCCCTAGCACCAGCACCATAACCATCTGAAACTGGCCCACCCTGGCGCTAGTTCCTTGCGAATACTGAGAACTCAGCACCTGGACTCTAGTGGGACCCACTTTTTCCACCTGGGGTCCAATGTCGTGGACAGTGAGAGTCAGGCTTTCAGCTATAGCATTAATTTATTTATTCAGAATACATTGGCAGCTGCTAGTGGTTTCCCTGGAAGTGGCAGCAGCAGTGAGCAGTCAGCAGATGGGTGATCAGTTGAGTTTAGCTGGAGTGGGGAGCAGGAGCCCCAGGAACAGGGGTGTTGGCTGAGCCCCATTCTGGGTCAGGCCCTCCCCCTTTGCAGGGCAGCCGAGGGTCAGATTTTTGCACCAAGGAGAACTGGCAGGTTCCTGCCTCCTGACGTACCTCACACCCAGCTGGAAAGTCGATGGGATGCTGGGACCTGGGAAACCAAGGATGGGGGAAGGAATCAGCACAGTGAAAGGCTGCCTTTATCCCTGCCCACATGTTCCCTCTCTCACAGCTTTCCCCACTAGAGCCCCTTTCAGTGGCCCCTTGGTCCTCCTAAGCTCTCACCTACCATATGTGGGCCTTTTTGTTTTATAACAGGAGTATTTTTTCTCCAGGTACACCCCAACCTCCCCTGATTTATAGCCTGAGGCCTTATCTTTCACACTAGTGTTGGGCCCTTCATGTTCGGCCCATCTTGTACTGCTCTTCTGTTCATTCTTACATCACAGCAATCTAGTCCCTCCCTGGTCATCCCTCAGTCATTCACATCAGAGTCATTCTCTCTGGCTATCTTTGGTCACTCACGTGTCACAGCAGCCCACACCAACAGGATGCAGACAGGTGCAATGGAAACAGTCCTTGCGGAGCCAAGACTCACCCAGGGTGAAATATTTCCCCTCATAGTGACAGGGGGCTAGGGAAGAACGGAAAATGTTAGTGGGTGTAGGAGTGCTGATGAGAGGCAGAGTCTCTTCAGGTCTGGGGTGGAGACGGTAAGTACATACTATATCCGTATTTAGTTTGTCTTTCCTCTTTCACAGCTGAAGGGAGCCTGGGTATTTTGACATGGGATCATCTCTAAGGCCCCGTCCTCCCTGTGCCCTCTCTGCTGCTCCTTCATTCCTAATGCCTCACCCCACTTTACCTTGAGCTTGGAAGTAGCACTTGCTGTAGACTCCTGGGTGCTGGAGGAGTAGAGACATCACCAAGCAGACGATCCCCCAGCCTCCTAGGATCCCCTTGGCCTGTCCAGCCCAGAGCATCCTCAGGGCCATTACTGCTGCACAGCCCTCTCGGACCCTTCTTGGCCTCTGCTCAGCTACTCTGGTCTTGACTCCTTGACTTTGCTTTGC